TTGGAGCCGACCGTGGAAGCGCTCGCCCTGCACCAATCGTACCAGGGGGCGTTCAATGTGATGCGCTATAAGCAGCGAGAGGCGGGCCGCGAGTACGCCGGGGCCGCGCTGGGCGCGGCGCCGTGGCACTTGGGGGAGTTGGCGTCGGCGCTGTGCATATTCAAGTGGCTTACGCCATTCCGCCGGCCCACAGAAGGAGTGAGGGCCACGACGATCGTGGAACATATCGAAGACGCCTACGGCGAATCACCGCCGCCCCCTGCCTTTTTGGAAACGCCGACGCGGCCGAAAGTTGGACTAGAGCTTGGCCAAGCTATCGGACCATGAGTTCCCCGAGTCGGTTTGGAAAACTTTCGGGGAACACATGGGAGAGAATGATTATGAACAGGAAGAGGAAGAGGAAGAAATAGAGTAGGAGGATGAGGGTTGTTAGGAGTCTCTTGGGGCACCCTTGGGGTCTGTTGGGGGCTTCTTGGGGGCCTCTTCGAGGCCTCTTGGAGGCATCTTGGGGGCCTCCTTGGGCCTCTTGGGGGCCTTTGGGGGCTTCCTGGGGGTCTCTTTGGCCGTCTTAGGGCGTTCCTGGTCCGTCTGACGCCGTCTGGAGCCGTCTTGGGGGCCTCTCTGGGCCGTCTTGGGGCCCTCTTGGGGCGCTTCAGGGCCGTCTTGGAGGCCATGTTGGGCGTCTTGGAGGCCTCTTGGGCCGTCTTGGGGCGCTCTTGGGGCCGTCTTGGGGGGCCCTTGGGCCGTCATAGGGCCTTCTTGGAGGCCTCTTGGGCGATCTTGGGGGCCTCTTGGGCCGTCGGAAGGCCGAAAAGAAGAAAACGCAAAAAACCTTCAAACACCTAAGGAAAACCAATGATTTTGGCCTCTTCGGGCTCTCCTGGGGAACGTCTTGGAGGCCTCTTGGGCCATCTTGGAGGCATCTTGGGGCCATCTTGGCCGTCTTGGAGGGCATCTTGGGCCGTCTTGGAGGCATCTTGGAGCCATCCTACCCGTCTTGGAGGCCATCTTGGCCGTCTGGGAGGCATCTTGGAGGCCATCTTGGGCCATCTTGGCCGTCTTGTAGGTCATCTTGGGCCAAGTTGGGGCAACAAAGGCATTGACCGACGGATTTTGGGAAAATTACGGGTGGCCGGCGGGACGGGCCGAAGCCCACTGGGGAGTTCTTTTAGAAAAAGAACCAAAACCAAAACCTGAAACATCCAGCACGCCGTGCACCCCTGTGGCAACCACAGGGGGCGGCGGATCGAAGACGCCTACGGCGAATCACCGCCGCTCCCTGCCTTTTTGGAAGCGCCTATGTGGCCGAACGTTGAGGCCAGACCTGCCAAGCTATCGGACCACGTGTTCCCCGAATCGGTTTGGAAAGCCTTCGGGGAACACGTGGGCATCTTGAAGGTCATCTTGGCCGTCTTGGAGGCCTCTTGGGCAAGCTTTGGGCGATCTTTGGGGCTTTTTGGGCCGTCTCGGGCCAGCTTCGAGCCAACTTCGGCCATCTTGGTGGGTTCCTGGCACGTCTGAAGCCGTCGGAAGCCGTTTGGGGGGCCTCTATGGGCCGACTTGGGGCCCGCTTGGAATGCTCCAGGGCCGTCTTGGAGGCCATCTTGGGCGTCTTGGAGGCCATCTTGGGCGTGTTGGAGGCCTCTTGGGCCTCTTGGGGCCCTCTAGGGGCCATCTTGGAGGCCACTTGGGCCATCAGGGGGCTCTCTTGGGGGCCTCTTGGGCGATCTTGGGGGCTTCTTGGGCCGTCTTGAGCCGTCGGAGAGCCGAAAAGGCGCAAATGCCAAAATCCTTCAAAAACCAATGGAAAATCAATGATTTTGGCCTCTTCGGACTCTCCTGGAGGACCTCTTGGAGGCCTCTTGGGCCGTCTGGGAGGCCTCTGGGGGGCCTCTTGGGCCGGCTTGGGCCGTCTTGGACTCTCTTGGGCCGTTTTGGAGGCCGTCTTGGACCATCTCGGGCGGACTTGGAGGCCATCTTGGGCCATCTTCGCGATGTTTTGAGGATGTCCCGAGCGAAACGGCCGTTTTTGGGCATTGACAGACGGATTTTCGGGAATTTACGCGTGGCCGGCGGGACGGGCCGAAGCCCACTGGGGAGTTCTTGTAGAAAAAGAACCAAAACCAAAACCTGAAACGTCCAGCACGCCGCGCACCCCTGCAAGCAGGGGGCGGCGGATCTATTGGCCCTCGGCCCATCCCGCCACCGTACCTGCGTGGTGGGTCAGAGGCCTCTTGACTGTTTGTTGGAATCTCGTGGTAGGCCTCTCGGGGGCTTCTTGGAGCAAGATTTGCAACCTCTTCGAAGCCGTTTTGGGGCCTCGTGTGGGGCTCTTGGGGGGTTCTTGGGGCCCTCATGGGGCCTCCTTGGGCCCTCTCGGTGGGGGAAACTAATATGTTCGGTTCGCGCCCTCCCTCTCTTAGGCCGTCTTCGTGCCCCGTTGGGTTGTTTTGGGCTGCTCTTGGACCGTCTTAGGGCCCTCTCGGGCGGTCCCCAGGCCGTCTCTGGGGCCTTCTGGACGGTCTTGGTCCGATCATGGGGGCCTCTTGGGCCGTTTTCGGGCGTCGGAAAGCCGAAATGGCAAGAGCGCCAAAAACTTTCAAACATCAAAGAGAAATCAATGAGCGAGCATGGGCCTTGGAGGCCATCTTGGGCGTCTTGGAGCGATCGTTCGGCCATTCGCGGCTCTCTTGGAGCGTCTTGGGGGCCTTTTGGGGCTCTCTTGGCCCGTTGTGGGAGCCATTTGGAAGCTCCAGGGCCACCCCGGGTGCGTTCAGGAGCAGGACCCCCCATTGAAACGTTTTTTTGTCCCCCGGGGAGGGGGGAAGGGGGAGGGGGACAGCCAAATGTCTCATGCGCCTTTTCATCCCAGGCAACCGGGGGTCGGCGGATTCGACATCTTCTGCGGCAGGTACGACGACACCGAGGAGTACACCTCGAGGAAGATTGCACCGCAGGAGGAGCACGTCGAGCGCGCGGCCTCCCTGTTGAAAGTGGTCCACTTGTTGAAGGTAGCCGCAGCGAGCACGGAGGAGGAACCGGAGCCAGCGGCAGCGGATGCAGACACAGCGGAGCAGCGCCGGGTGGAGCTCGCTGCGTTCCTCGCGCCCTCGCTGGGCGCGTTCGACGGCTTGTGGTCCGCGAGCCAGCACGCGCGCGCGGATCGCCCGCCCGTGGATGCACCTCCTGCTGCCAGCGAAGCCAGCGCCCACGGCGGCGTCTCCAGGGGCGGGGCAAGGGAGGGGGAGCTTGCGGGAGATGACGACGCCGTGTCTCTCGCGAACTCACGGGAGGAGCCCGGGTCCCCTGGCGGCGAGATTGGCGACGTGAGCGCCGACGAGGCGTCTGCCCAGGCGGCCCGTGAGGGCGCCCCCGGGGGTGGCCCAACGAGCGGCCCTGGCATCCTGGTGTTGGAGGACGTGAAAGGGCTGGACTTCGGCTACGGGGCCGATGGGAGCAGCGTTCAAGACGGCCCCTTCCACGCCGCGGGCCTCACCGACCGCAACATCATGCGGAGGACGCTGCTCGTAGGCACCCCGACCGTCACCATGCGCGCCGCTTGCGAGCGGATGAAGTCATTGAGGAGGGGAGGCCAGCGGCCGAAGCACCTCCCAGAGCAGACGTGGCTGCGCGTGATGGAGGCTGGGCTGCAGGGGAGCCCTGTGGCGCGCCTGGATGGTCGCGAGATCCATGTCGCGCGCATCCCCGGGGGCCAGGCGGACCGGGTGGCTTAACACAATGCTTTGATGCGCTTGTGCGCCCTTCCACTGCGAGACCTCGTGGAGGCCATGAGGAAGGCAAAGGAGAACAGCGATCGGAGGGAGCGCGGTCGGGCAGAGGCAGTCCGTGCTCGCAGTCGCAGCCAGCGGAGGGAGTCATGAGTGCCCGGTCGGACCGGGGACCCGAGATGCGTAGAGCGATATTCGCGCCGGCAGCCAAGCCTGTGCCGCCGCCGCTCTCCCCTGGGGCGGGTGCTGCAAAGTGTAAGCTTTGCGTGCGTGGGCAGGCGGCGAGGTATGTGCGCGCGGGTTTGCGTGGCGTCCTCGTAAGCAAGACTGCGTTGGTGGCACGCATACAGTATATGGTTAGGAACAGTCGGATATCTCAACGTCCTCGTAAGTAGGACTGCGTTCGTTGCACATGTGCAGTCACGGTTCGTCGCGCCCGCTATGAAAAAATGAAGGCCCCAGCAGTCATGGTTCGTTGGCGGTGCCCGCCTGTCAGCGCTACGATGTCGCTACATGTCAATCTTCTTGTCCGGATCTTACGGGGGCCCCTTCGGGGCGCTACGGGGGCCGCCTTGGAGCGCCCCCGTTGGGTCTCTATCGGGCGATAGTGGGGCACTCATCACACAGAGCTATTTACTTGCATGTTAAGTGTGGGACGGTTCTAGGCGCGTGCCCCGCGGGTGCCTTCCAGGACCGCCCCCGGGTAGGAGCGTGCCCCGTGGGCGCCTTCTGCCGTCTTATGAACGTAGGTGTGCAAAGACTGTTGACCACGAGCGTAGGAGCAACAGCAGGGAGTGGCCAGAGGCAGCGGCAAAGCGCCGCCTGTCAGCGCTGCGATGTCGCCCAATATCAATCCTCTCGCCCAGATCTAACGGGGGCCCCTTTGGGGCGCTACGGGGGCCGCCTTGGGGCGCCCCCGTTGGGCCTCTATCGGGCGATAGTGGGGCATTCATCACGCAGAGTTATGTTAGTGCATGTTAAGCGTGGGGCGGTCCTGGGCGTGTGCCCCGCGGGCGCCTTCCAGGACCGCCCCCCGGGTAGGGGCATGCCCCGCGTGCGCCTTCTGCCGTCTTATGAACGTCAGCGTGCAAAGACTGTTGACCACGAGCGTAGAGAGCAGCAGAAGAGAGGGGCCAGAGGCAACGGCAAAGCGCCGCCGCCATTTTGGCTCAAGACCGTCAGATCGTCGTCATCGCGCTTCCCTGCTGGGACCCGCACGCCTGGCGGCCCCGTGGAATCGCAGGTTAAGAGCCTTGCGTTGTACCGCACCGCATGCCACACAAGCGTTCTGCCGACAAGCAGTTCGAAGCTGCGGTGAAGAGGGCGCGGTACTTGGGCGCCAAGCACGAGTCCAAGTGCCAGACCATCCAAGCCATCCTGGAAGGGCGCCTGTCCGAGATCACCGTGGAGCAGGTCTTGGACGCCATCAGGGGGCTCGAGGCGACCGCGCGGCAGGATGAACCTGTCCGGCCCCCCCTCCGCCCAGGCCTCGTCCAGCGAGGGCCCGACGGAGAACCAGCGCCTTCCTCTGCGAGCACATCCTCCCCAACACCTTCCTCTACCAGCGCATCTTCCCCAGCGCGTCCCTCCACCGGGACATCCTCCTCGAGCTCCGCCGGGACCGCGCCCTAGCCTTCGGATGCTCGACACGGCAGGGGCGCCCGCCTTGCAGGTCCCAGCCTTTGACTTTTCGGCTGCCGCTGAAAGCCGCCATGGCAATCGGAGTGTTGGCCAGTGCGCTGCGTGGTTGCGGAGGACAGTGGAGTCTGGAGACCCAGCCTGTCTCTTATCGGGGCCTGCCCGTGACCATTTGGTTTCGGCCTTGGTCTCTGCTGGCGCGCGCCCTGACATCCCGTTTTTTGGCGGGGAGGAAAGCCCTGGCGATTTATGGCACATTTCGGACAAGTGCCCTGTGTGCGACAAGCGAATGGTGAAGCGGCCAGGCTCTGGATCAGATGCCATCGTCTTGGACGTGGGCGGTCCCGTTTGTAAGACTCACGTCCCTTACCGCTGCAATTCGGTGGACTGTCCAAAGCTCGGTTTGGTACATTGGCACAACTACTACGTGGACGCTGGACGGCACATTTTCCACGGGGACGTTGCGGCCATGAAATGCATCATGCTTACCGCGAGCTTCGGGATCACAACGGAGTACCTGGAAGCCTTGCACGAGCGAATGCTGAGGGAACACGTATCTTTTGCCGGCGAAGCTGACGTGGCGCGCGCCCGTGCCGGTGGAACTGCGTTGCCAGCCAATTTGCGGAAGTACCTGTCGAAAGGCTGGTTCGTGTGGCGGTTGGCCAGGCGCGTCGGCGATTTGGGCCCTGATGACACCACTGTGATCGACTTGATGCAGCCACTTGAAGACCAAATCAAGGACACGTGGGACCAGCTCGAATTAACGTTCGAGCGTAGAACCGCAGAGAGGGCCCGAGCAGCAGGCATGAAGACCGATGTGGTTGTGGTGGATGGCAACGCCAAGAATCGCAGGCTGACGTGCGCAGCGCCTCTGCGCCACTGTGTGACGTGCCCGCGCTTAGCTCGGCGGGTGTGCGTGGGCTGCCCCCGGACGCCGCTGCTGGGCAGTGCGTTTTGTGGAGAGCACGGCGTGCCCTGCGAGTGCCCGGCCGAGGACTACGAGGTGGTGGGGCACGAGGCGCCCGAGGCGGGGGGCATGGGTTTGGACGGCTCGTTGAAATTGTTGGTGCGTGAGCGCCGGGGCGAACTCAGGGAGCTGTGGGTGTCGGAGTCGGCCGTGGACCCGGGCATCGTGAACGTCTACTTCCACGGTCTCGGGGAAGATCGCAGAGCGGCCAGCGCGGGCCGGCGGGGGGCAAAGGCCAGGTGGAGACGGGCGGCGGCCAGCGAGGTGCGTCGTCAACTCGACGCCGCGGCCCCTGCGTGGGATGCCCTCACGCCGGTGGAGCGGGAGCAGCTCCTTTCGGAGATGTCGTGCGAGGCCGACCTGAAGGCCGTGGCGTGCAACACCCATAAGGAGGACGACTCGCAGCAGGCGAAGTGCGCACGGACCGCCGGCGTACTATGCGCTTGCCTGTCCTCTGGTATCGTCGTGTCCATGCGGGAAATGTTTGGCTGCGAATCCTTGAGCCAAAGGTATCCAATTGCCTTCGGCCCATCCCGCCACGATGCCCGGGTGGTGGGTCGGATGGCTCATATGTGTGTTGGTGGTGATCTCGCGATTGGCCTCTCGGGGGCCTCTTGGACCGTCTTGGGCCGTCTTGGGGCCGTCTTGGGGCCCTCTTGGGCCGTCTTGGGGCCTTGTTGCGGGCCTCTTGGGCCATCTTCGGGTGATTTGTTGGGCCTCTGGAATCGTTTTCGCGCGTAGGAAACCGAGAGGGCGACAAGGCCACATGCAAGAAAAAAATGCAAAGTAATAAAATGTAGCTTCTCGGACCGTCTTCGGGAGAGCTGTTGGGGGCTGAGTGGGGCTTTTGGGAAGCCTCTGGGGCCGTCTGGGGGCCATCCTTGGCGTCCTGAAGCGACGTTTGGGCCGTGCTGCGGCTTCCTCAAGCTTTGTGGGCTCGTTCGGGGGCCCTCCTAGGCGAGGGGGCCGTCCCGAAAACACACGCGACGAATTCCATCAAAGCCCAGAAACGCGCGAGAGCGCGTGGAACTGGGGGGCAGAGCCCTTCCCGACTGAGCAGTATCAGGGCTGCATGAGCTCAGGGATGCAGGAGTCTTGGGGCATTCCACTGCGTGCTGAAGGCACGGTGGCGGATTTGTTTATTCCTGCGATCGCAGATACGTTCCCTGAGTTGGCTGTTGTCGTTCACGACGACGCGTGCCACTCGCACAGGTTCACGGAGCGCCGGGCGTCCGATTCCCCGCAGGCCGCGCGTCTGGCTCCTCCAGCGATCTCTTACATCTGCGACGCTTTTCACATGAGTGGGCACACCGATGCGTGGTGCAAAGCGAATTGCAACCCAGCCGCCCCTCACTTGAAGACGCTGGTCGAGGGCGTGCGCACGTCTGTGTGTGAATTTACATTCACATGGATGAGCCAGTACAAGCATCAAACGAAACACATGAGCGAATGGGGGTTGAAGTTTTTCTTGCAGGAGATGTGCATGGCGCACAACGAGGCTCTGTTCAAGGGTTCGGCTCCTCACCTCACCCACACGAGCGGGGACTGAACTCGAAGCGCGGCTCGGTTGTGGCACGGCGGTGCCGCGCCCGTTTTGGAGATTGCGTCGAAAAAAGAATAGCTTTCGCTTCTCTCCGGGGGGCCACGAACGGGGTCCGCGGTCCAGGGTCTGGAGTCCGGGGTCCAGGGTCTGGGGCCCGGGGTCCAGGGTCATGGTGTCCGGGGGCCTGGGTCCGGGGTCGGGGGTCGGATGTCCGGGGTCTGCAGGGTCCGGACTGTCCGGGGCCAGGTACCACCGGGGCCCGCGGTCGGGGTCTTTGCCAAGGCGCACGCTAGCACGAGTTGTTCTAGTGCCAGGTGCACTCTAGACATGGTGACATTGGGGCCGGGCCGGGGCAGGGCCGCGCGAGCTCAGGAGGGGCCCTTCGCGGGGTCCTCCGCGGCGACTAGACCGCCGGATCGGCGAGCGCTGCTCCCGGTGTTCCCAGAGGCCGGCGGTGCCGCTGCGCCGGATGGGAGAGCGGCCGTCGCCGCCACCCTTGGTTTCCGCCTCTTGCGGCTCCTCGGCGCCCTCGGCGTCCTCCTCCTCCTCCTCCTCCTCCTCCTCCTCCTCCTCCTCCTCCTCCTCCTCCTTCGGGTGCGGGGTCTGGAATATGGGCTCCGGGGTCCGGGCCCGGGGTCCGGGGCCCGGGGCGCGGGGTCCGGAGTCCGGTGTCCGGGTTCCGGAGTCTGGGGTCCGGTGTCCGGGGTCCGGGGCGCGGGGTCCGGGCCCCAGTAGACAACAAATAGATACTGGGAGTGTCTATTTGTGGCGCGCGCCGTGCGTAGCCAAATGACAACGAACTTGAGTCGGATCGCGCGAAGTATGTTTTTTACCCAACAGCGAAGATTGATAGGTGTCTAAGAGGGCCGAAAGAGAGCATCATGACTCCCCAGAGGGGGTCTGGGCGGCATCCGGACAGGGATCCGCGGAAGTCGCTTTAAGCAAACAGTTGCACATTTCGTGGTCTTCGAGGTCCCAGAATTCTATTCCCGGGCCACATTCTGAATGCCCGGAGCCACCTGTAAGCCATTCGTGTTTTTCAGGTTCCCAGAACTCCGGTCTTGGGCATGATTTTGAATGCCCGGAGCCAACTGTAGGCAACTTCGTGCGCTTCGAGTTCCCAGAATTCCATTCCCGGGCCACATTATGAATGCCCGGAGCCAACTGTAACCCATTTCGTGGTCTTCGAGTTCCCATAATTTCAGTCCTGGGCATGATTTTGAATGCCTGGAGCCAGCTGTAGGCCACTTCGTGTTCTTCGAGTTCCCAGAACTCTTCTCCCGGGCCACATGTTGAATGCTGAGGCAGGCTGATGCTGAGGCTGAAGCAGGCTGAGGCCGAGGCTGAAGGCAGACTGGGGCTGAGGCTGAAGCAGGCTGAGGCTGAGACTGGGGCTTGCTGAGGCTGAGGCTGAGGCGAGCTGATGTTGAGGCAGGCTGACGCTGAGACTGAGGCTGAGGCAGGCTGATACTGAGGCAGGCTGAGGCTGAGGCCGAGGCCGAAGGCAGACTGAGGCTGAGGCTGAAGAAGGCTGAGGCTGAGGCTGAGGCTGAGGCTGAAGCAGGCTGAGGCTGAGGCTGAAGCAGGCTGAGGTTGAGGCTGAGGCAGGCTGATACTGAGGCAGGCTGAGGCTGAGGCTGAGGCGGATGCAGGCTGAGGCTGCGGCAGGCTGAGGCTGACGCCGAGGTTGAAGGCAGTCTGCGGCTGAGGCTGAAGCAGGCTGAGGCTGAGGCTGAGCCTGATGCAGGCTGAGGCTGCGGCAGGCTGAGGCTGAGGCCGAGGCTGCAGGCAGACTGAGGCTGAGGCTGAAGCAGGCTGACGCTGAGGCTGAGGCTGAGGCAGGCTCAGGCTGAGGCTGAGGCAGGCTGATGCTGAGGCAGGCTGAGGCTGAGGCTGAAGCTGATGCAGGCTGAGGCTGAGGCAGGCGGAGGTTGAGGCGAGGCTGAAGGCAGATTGAGTGTGAGGCTGAACAGGCTGAGGGTTGGAGGCCGGCTGAGGCTGAGCTGAGGCTGGAGGCAGGCTGATGCTGAGGAAGGCTGAGGCTTGAGGCGAGGCCGAAGGCCAGACGGGAGGCTGATGCAGCGCTGAGGCAGACGCTGAGGACGGCTGAGGACGGCTGAGCTGAAGCAGGCTCCGGCTGAGGCTGAGGCTGAGCGATGCAGACTGAGCGAGGCAGCTGAGGCACAGAGGGAGGCTGAAGGCAGACTGAGGCTGAGGCTGAGCAGGACGAGGCTGAGGCAGGCTCGGGAGTGACATGATGCACAGGCTGACCCTCATGCAGGCTGAGGCTGAGGCTGAGGCAGGCTGAGGATGAGGCTGAGGCTGAGGCTGAGGCTGAGGCAGGTGAGGGCAGGACGCTGAGGCAGGTGATGCTGAGGCAGGGTGAGCGAGACTGAGGATGATGCGGCTGAGGCTGAGGCAGGCTGAGGCTGAGGCTGAAGCAGGCTGATACTGAGGCAGGCTGAGGCTGAGGCAGGCTGAGGCACAGAGGCTGTGGCTGAAGGCAGACTGAGGCTGAGGGTGAAGCAGGCTGAGGCTGAGGCTGACGCAGGCTGAGGCTGAGGTTGAGGCAGGCTGATACTGAGGCAGGCTGAGGCTGTGACTGCGACTGCCGCTGCCACTGCGACTGTCATCGCGAATGCGACTGCGACTGCGAGAACAGCAGAACTCTACAACTGGATTCTCATCTGAATCTTAAGGGGAATGCTTCCATATATGCTTCTACACATCGCTGTTAGGTTGCTTTGCCGGGATAATTTTAGATACTGTGTGCACGGCGCCTCGGCGGAGCACAATCGCATTTCATCGGAAAGCGTCCATTCCTGAAGAATAGATATTTGTAGATACTGTGTGCCCGGCGCCTCAGCGGGAAGTTCGAAGTGTTATGGTGTCTACTCCTGTCTTGGGCCGTCTACATGCAGGGGTGTGCAGGCTCCGGGCCCCAGGGTCCGGGGTCCGGGGTCCGGGGTCCGGGCTCCGGGGTCCGGGGTCCGGGGTCCGGGGTCCGGGGTCCGGGGTCCGGGATCCGGGGTCCGGGGTCCGGGGTCCGGGGTCCGGGGTCCGGGGTCCGGGGTCTGGGGTCCGGGGTCCGGGGTCCGGGGTCCGGGGTCCGGGGTCCGGGGTCCGGGGTCCGGGGTCCGGGGTCCGGGGTCCGGGGTCCGGGGTCCGGGGTCCGGCGGGGGTCCGGGGTCCGGGGTCCGGGGTCCGGGGGTCCGGGGTCTGGGGTCCGGGGTTGGGAGGTCCGGGGTCCGGGGTCCGGGGTCCGGGGTTGGGGTCCGGGGTCCGGGGTCCGGGGTCCGGGGTCCGGGGTCCGGGGTCCGGGGTCCGGGGCCCGGGGTCCGGGGTCCGGGGTCCGGGGTCCGGGGTCCGGGGTCCGGGGTCCAGGGTCGAGGGTCCTCCGGTCCGGGCTCCGGGCTCCGGGCTCCACTTTGTGGGCCGTTGCACTTGGCTGCTTATACGCGCGCTTACAACTTGATTATAATGGCGTTGAGTGCGCTTACAACTCACCCAACCTAAGGTATATGTTGGCTATCTGGTTAGCTAAGTTGTTAGGCTGGCCTGCCAGATAACAACTGCATGTAAGTCACATAGCAGCGTTATAACCACCTTATAACCAGTTATGTTGCGCAGCGCTAATTCGGTTACATCCAGTTAGGTTTTGGTTATAACCCACTTAGGTTTTGCACACTTTTGCATGTTGCCAGGCCAAACCACTTAGCTTTCACTTAGCTTTCACTTAACTTTCGCTCAGCCTTGTTTCATACTGTTGGGTTTGGGCCGTGGTTTGTTTGCGCGTTGAAACAGCATTCTAAGACAACGGCCAAGTTTACCATGATGATTTGGGCGGTGGGGGACGTCTTGGGGTTCACGAATCAGTTTGGGGTCGCCGTGTCCTCCTGCTCCTCCTCCTCCTCCCCCTCCTCCTCCTCCTCTTCCTCCTCCTCCTCCTCCCTCTTTTGCACCCTCCTTCTCGTATTTGTCACTTGTTCCTCCGTGATGCCATGAAGCCGTCTTTCCTCTCCTCCTCCGCCTCCTCTTTTTTTTGCGTCCTATGGCTTCCTCCATCCTCCTCCTTCACCTCCTCGTCTGCCCCCTGGGTCCGCTCTTCATTTTCTGCGTTCATCACGTTCCTCCTCCCATGCGTACGTGAGGAGCGAGCTCCTCTGTATGTTTTGGAATGCGATCGGTGCTATGCGATACGATGCAATGCAATGGGCAGCTTTGCAAATGTACTCTTGCGATGTGTTAAACGTAGGTTCAATGCTATCGTAGGTGACCTACATCAGCTCAGCAATGCTACGCCGCGCAATGCAATGCTGAGCAATTCACAACCAAGACATCGATGCAACGACATGCGATTCACCCTATGCGATGTTGCAGGGCATGGCGTTGCAAAGCATTTGTTTTTCGTTTTTTTTTTTTTTTTTTTTTTTTTTTTACCTGGGCGAGCCCAACGCGTTGCATCCATGTTCGGGGCGAGCCCCGTCTGGAATTGGGCCGAGCCTCATGGCGTATACTTGCGTGAGTATACTCGCAGCGGCAGGTGCGTGTAATGATCTACACACGGTTGCACTCCCCAAGCTGCAAAAACGCATTGTCGCCAAGGTCCTAGGTTAAGCACGGGCGGGGGTCTCGCGTCTACTCTTGGTTCACATACGCGACAAGCCGCGCCCACGCCTCCTTTGGCGTCTCGGAGGCCCCCGCGAAACTGAAGGCGCGGTCGACCCGCTCTCCCACGCGCAACACTCGCCACTTTCTGGCAGGGACCGAAGTGTAGATCCTGAAGTCATTGTAGAGCACAGCTTGTTTTGGGCACGTCGGGATCCCAGGGAATGGAAGCTTCGCCGCGGACTTGGGCACGGCAGCTGCAGCTGCAGCAGGGCGCTTCAGGACTTTCGCTGAGCCTGGCCAGGGTGGAGAGGGAGGCGGGGGGACAAGGGAGGACGGTGAGGACGATGATGAGGACTTGCGAGGAGGACGACGGCAAGGAGGAACGGAAGAGGAGG